CTTGATGCACAAAAAGCTTTTGATAATTTAAATTGGCAATTTATGTTTCAACAGCTACAGGAAATGGATTTTGGTGAAAACTTTATTAAAGCAATTCAAGCAATTTATAGGAAACAAACAGCAAGAATACTTTTAAATGGAGATTATACAGATGGATTTGATATTTAAAAAGGCACGAGACAAGGATGTCCACTCTCTCCCTTGTTATTTATTCTTACATTGGAGGTATTGACTAGAAATATTAGACAAAACAGGGAAATTAAAGGTTTAGAGATTAAAGACCAGAAATATAAATTACAGGCTTTTGCGGATGATTTGGTTTTTATTTTAGAGGAGCCATTGGAAACAGCTCCTAAACTTTTACAGAAAATTGAGAAATTTGGAGAAGTGGCTGGACTGAAAATAAACAGGGAAAAGACTAAAGTTTTAACAAAAAACTTAACTGATAAACAGAAAACCCAACTTGCCAAAAAGACAAATCTTCAAATAGTTAAAAAAGTTAAATACCTAGGTATCTACCTAACAGCAAAATATACAACACTAAAAGAGAACAACTATGAGAGATTAATAAAACAAATAAAATTAGATTTGGAAAAGTGGGAAAATCTTCAACTATCACTGCTAGGAAGACTAGCGACTGTCAAGATGAATATTTTACCAAAGCTGATTTTTCTATTTCAAACAGTTCCTGTTAAATTGAACAATAAAATTTTTGACGACCTAAATACAATAATTTTAAGATTTATATGGCAAAGAAAGAAAGCAAGAATCAAATGTAAACTCTTACAAGATTCTAAAGACAGAGGGGGCTTTGGACTCCCGGACTGGAGACTTTATTATCAAGCAGCTATTTTGCTTTGGCTTAAAGAATGGATTACATTGAGAAATAAACGACTTCTTTACTTAGAGGGACATGACCTCCAACTAGGTTGGCACGCCTTCTTATGGTATGAGAAAACTAAAGCACATAAATACTTCCAAAATCATGCCATAAGAAATGTATTGATTTTAGAATGGGAGAGAATCAGACACAAAATGTATATGAAAATACCTGAGTGGTTTTCAACAATGGAAGCATTTGCTTATCCGAACTTGATTAACTATGACAAACTTGTTAGCTATAAAGATATCTTGGCTAAAGATGGAAAACTTAAAGACAGGCAAGTTCTTCAACAACAAGGTATTGATTTAACATGGTGGTCTTATTTGCAAATCCAAACAAGATATGAAAAAGATATAAAATCAACGGGATTTTATAAAGAGCAGACTCCACTTGACAAAATACTTTTAAAAATAGATGAGAACTTGATTAAGAAACTTTATAAATTTTTATTAAGATGGAAGATGGAAGAAGAACAAGTAAAAGAAACAATGATAGCATGGGCAAAGAATTTTGGACATTCTATAGACTTAGAAGACTGGCAAAAACTTTGGGATAAAAATATTAAACTTACTAAAGCAGTAACATATAAAGAAAATTTATATAAGATGTTTTATAGATGGCATATGACACCAGTTTGATTAGCGAAAATGTTTTAAAATGTATCGAATACTTGCTGGAAATGTAAACAAAAACCAGGCACTTACTACCATGCCTGGTGGATATGCCCCAATGCAAAGAAATATTTGTTGTGTCCTGGGCCTGATGAGGCAACTCAGCAGGCCCAAAAATGTTGCAATCGGTCCCGGGCAACCTAAAAGCTGCCTGGAACCAGACTGGCTGGCGCCGGACTTATGCGCATGCGCAAGGCGCGAAGAAAGGGTTTTCCCTATTGGCTGGACTGCCTTGGGGTTGGAAGACTATAAAAGGCCTGCGTGCCTGTTTGCAGAGTTGAGTGAAGGAGCAAATAAAGAAGTTTGGTTACAACATGTGTCGTGCTTCAATGCCTCGAACCCCGAAACATAAAAGTGGTGACGAGGATGGGATCGCTGCAAGGAAAAAGCCAATAAGAAGAGGATAAGCCTCATCTGGAGAGCCGGAAACCTGGGAATCGGCATCCAGCTCTGCACTCACCTGCCAGTACAGAATTGCTGGAGGTGAGCTTGGCAAACGGGTCCTTCCCCTCACCGAAGGCTTGCAGCGAGGCATTTGAAGCAGAAGATGTTGAAGATAGGACGTCTGTCAGAGTTCGACGTCTCTCACCCGGAGCACTGGAACTCCTATGTGGCCTGGGTAGAAAATTACCTAAGGGTTAACCAGGTTCGGGAAGATGGCCTGAAAGCGGCAACCCTGCTGTGTGGTCAGGACACTTTCGACGTGGCCAAAAACCTGGTAGCCCCTGCACCGCTGGAGTCTGTCACCTACACAGACTTAAAAAACATGCTGAAGGATCACTTCCATCCCAACCTATCTGTAATTGCATGGAGGCATGCTTTTGAGCAGAGGGACCAGAAGCCGGGCGAGCCTGCTACTGAGTTCATCGCTGCCTTGAGACAAGCTGCCAGGCCTTGTGAATTCAAGGACCTGGAAGAACGCTTACAAGACCACTTCGTCTGCGGCCTTAGAAGCAGAGAGCTGCAACAAAAAATCTTTGCTAAAGCTGAAGTCACCTTCCAAGATGTCTTACGCGAAGTTGCAACTGAAGAAGCAGCAGGCAGCACTGTGAAGGCCTTGTGGCTCGCCAGACATGCTCCAGCCGTCGTGACCGTCCATCAAGAGGTCGTTCAGGAAGTTCAAGACCTGGATCCTGAAGAGGAGGTGGACAGACTTCACCGGCCGGCGGTAAGAAGACCACGAGAGAAACCAGACAAGGCCCCAGCAGCCCTTCAGTGTCTCAGTTGCGGAGGACGCTACAAGCGCACGGACTGTCGGTTCCTCTCCGCCATTTGCCAGGCATGTGGTAAGCAAGGCCACATTGCCACCATTTGTTTGGGTCGCCAGCAGGTGCAACCTCGGGAAGAATTCCTTCAGAAAGGTACCAGGGTCCCCAGCCAACACAGGGTGGGTTTCTGCGCGTCGCGTAGAAGCATCTTGCGAACAGGGACATACAAGCCCCTTAAAAAGAAACTTCGCATTGATGTACAGTTACAAGGGGTTCCCTTATCGATGGAGCTGGACACCAGGTCTGCTCTATCGATCATTTCACACAATATCCTTAAAAGGATTTGCTGCAATAGTGGCCTTCTAGTCAAACTCAGGCCATCGAACTTAATTCTTACTGACTTTCAAAATTCAAAGGTAAATGTACTTGGAGAAGCCATGCTCAAAGTGCAGCGTAAGGCTTTCCAAGGCCTCTTAGATGTGGTGGTTGTTGGGGGTGATCGTACGAGTCTAATCGGACTTGATTGGTTTGAGGCCCTTGGAATCCAGGTGACTGGCCTGAATAGTCTGCAAACTCCAGGAATTGCAGAAGTCTGCAGAGAGTTTGTGGATGTGTTTAGTTCAGAGCTTGGTTCATACAAGGGGCCTCCCGTTGCCCTGCCCAGAAATGTTGCAAACGGTCCCGGGCAACCTAAAAGCTGCCCAGGACCAGACTGGCTGGCACCGGACTTATGCGCATGCGCAAGGCGCGAAGAAAGGGTTTTCCCTATTGGCTGGACTGCCTGGGGGTTGGAAGACTATAAAAGGCCTGTGTGCCTGTTTGCAGAGTTGAGTGAAGTTAAGGAGCAAATAAAGAAGTTTGGTTACAACATGTGTCGTGCTTCAATGCCTTGAACCCCGAAACATAAAAATATTGGTTTAAGATTCATAGATGGCTGGAAAAGATGACGAAAATACAGATAGAATTTAAACCAGAATTGTTTTTGCTAGGAATAGTAGGATCTAATTATGGTAAAGTGAATGACTATTTAATACTACATGTATTAACAGCTGCAAGAATAGTATTTGCCCAATTTTGGAAAAATGAAAATCTACTATCTGACCAGGCTATAATTTCGAAAATTTTGGACTGTGCAGAAATGGATAGATTAACTTTGGAGATGAAGGAGAAAGAAGATTCAATTTATTTCAAAACTTGGGAAAAATTTTATCGATGGTTAGAAATACGCTAGAATACGATCAGAATTTAAAATTGAATTGAATTTTAAAATTGAATAGAATAAATGATAGATGCTTAACTGTTATCTCTTAGATTAATAATAGTTTTATTATTAGTGATTTTAAATACTAATGGTGATGACTAGAATTAGTTGATATGTTATTAAGTATGAATATTTACTTAGAGGAATTTTACTTATCTAATTTTAGTTATATGATTATAGTTAACTTTATCTTTATAATTGTTTAGTATTATACTGGACTTTTAGTAAAGAACGTTTAATGAAATATTTTGATTTTTTTTAATTAAGAGATGAGGTATGGGGATAATTATGCTGTATTTAAAGATGGTAGATTAGCTACTAAAATTGTTTTCACCTGTTGGGATGAAGGAGAAAGGTTTTTTTCCCCTCTTTCTCTGGCATAAAAATTAGTTTTCTTTGTAGCAGTTCATTGATTTCATAAATGCAACACACTATAGTTTTTTTATACATAGTGTTATGTTTTGGGTTCGGTGAGGCATTGACGAGGCGATTGGTGCAACAAGAACTCATTTATTAAGTTAACAACAGAAGCAGCAGCAACTGCCGGTAAACCTCTATACGGATCACCGCTAGGCGGTGGCCAATAGAATTAAAGCAGTCTTTCCCGCTCAAACACAAGCTAACAAGTATGTAGACAGTCAGTCTGAAGTTTAAACGGTCGCAGCCGTTTAAGCATTTTCAACAGTTTCTAAGCAATTTACACCAATACATAACACCCCTTCCCCCTGGATAGTTCATAATGACAATTATTGAACATAGTCTTGTAAGTACTTTGGTGGCCTTCTCGCCTGCTCCAAACGTCTTGGCAGCGCTGGAGGGCCCCGGTCTACTAGCTTGCCTGCCAGGCTGGGTAGACCAGGACTTTGGGACTCGGGTAGACCTGAGTCTCTGTGGCTAGTCTGTCCGGGTAGACCCGAGCCATTGTCCATTGGTGAAACAGTTTCCACCGGGCTGGAAATCAGAGCCGTGTGCCGGATTCACTCAGTGGTTGCAGTCTCTGCATTCGGGGCTGACTCACTCTCCGCTAGTGCCCCATCCCCTCTGCTGGGATTCTCACTAGTGCTCAAAGATTCCGATGCCCGGCTGCTGTCGTGCTCCCCCTGAATTTGGCTTTCGCGAGAGTCATGAGCCAGCGGCTGGTTTGCTAGCCTTCTTCGCAGTTGGTCAATGTGCCAACATAGCACGCAACCGTCTTCCAGGACCACTTTGTAAGAAAGCGGCCCTGACACCTTACCAACCACAGCTACCACCCACAGTGCCCCTTGACTGTAGTTTCGTGCCCAAACTGGGTCGCTAACTTGCAAGCTGCGTGGTGACTTTGGCTGTGCTGATTCCGAGGCAACTCCATCTGGATGCAGCCGATCCAGCTTAGTGATTAAGCAATGGCCCCATCTCAATTCAGCTGGGCTTCTGCCCGTGGAAGTGCAGGGAGTCATGTGTTGGCAGAATAAGAAGTCTGCTAGTCTATGCTGCCAGTTGCTGGTTACGATCCTTTTTAAGGATTCTTTGGTTGTTTGGACCATGCGTTCCGCTTGGCCGTTTGAGGCCGGGTGAAAAGGGGCCGAAGTGGCATGCCTGATCATATTAGCCCTCAAAAAGGACTGGAATTCTGCAGCTGTAAATTGAGCCCCATTGTCTGAGACTATCATGTTGGGTAACCCGTGCGTGGCAAAGATCCTGCGCAGTTCCTGGATGATCCTGGCAGTAGTCATAGTTGGGACAGGTGCAACCTCTAACCACTTAGAGTGACTGTCCACCACAATGAGGAACAGCTGTCCCTGAAAGGGTCCCACAAAATCGATGTGGATTCTTGACCACGGGGCTTGTGTGGTTTCCCATCGATGGATGGGGGCTTGCGGCATTTCTGGCTGGGATTGCTGGCAAATGTAGCAGTTGTGTACTTGGGCCTCAATATCTTTATCTAACCCTGGCCACCACAGGTAGCTTCTCACGAGTGCCTTCATCTGGAGTATTCCCGGATGTCCCTCATGCAGAGACTCTAGTACCCTGGGCCTCAAGGAGTGCGGGACTATGACCTGACTCCCCCACAAAATGTAACCTTTGTGAGCTGACAGCTCGTCCTTTCTCCTACTGAAGCTCTGAAAGTTAGGCCCTGGACTATTTTCCGGCCATCCTGTGAGCACCCAGTTCAACACTCGACTCAGCGTTTTGTCCGAAGCTGTCTCAGCAGCCACATCCCCCACGTTAAGGGGAGACTCCGGCAAATCCTGGATAGCCAGGATGCGAGCAGCTGGAGCAGGGTCTGGCTTTAAATTTGGCAGGGGCAGCCTGCTAAAACCATCTGCGTGGCCCATTTCCCTGCCCAGTTTGTGATGCAGCCTGTAATTATAAGCTGAGAGAAAAATGGACCACCTCAGCATCATTGGAGATAGAATCTGAGGTGTTTGTCCATCGTGAACAGACCCAGAAGTGGCTTGTGGTCCGTAAAGACCGTGAATGGACGACCATACAAATAGTCATGAAATTTCTTGACACCAGCCACGATGGCCAATGCCTCTTTATCTATTTGGGCGTAGTTGTGTTCTGCCGAGGACAGAATCCTTGAATAATAAGCTATGGGAGCTTGGCTCCCGTCAGCCATTAAATGGCTCAACACAGCCCCTACCCTATACAGAGATGTGTCACAGGCAATGCTAATGGGCAGCTGTTTCTTGAAATGCACCAGTACCGAGTTTGAAGACAGCAGTGATTTGACTGCTGAAAAACTTTTCTCGTGGACGCTGGTCCACTGTCACTGTGCTTTTTTGTCCAAGAGCCGGTGTAACGAATCTGCCACTGCGGCCTTGTTCGGAAGGAAGGCATGATAAAAATTGAGTAGGCCTAAGAATGCCTTTGTCTTAGGGTGGGGAGCCTGCTGAATTGCTTGAAGCTTGGATTCAGCCGGGTGAATGCCTGTGGCATCTATGCGGAAACTGAGGAATTCGGTTGAATCTACCCCAATTTTGTATTTTTCCTTTTTCAGTTTCAGCCCCACTTCATGGAAACGCTGAAGGACGGCCTTGAGCCATTCTGCCAATTTCTCTACTGACTCCCCAGCTATGAGGACGTCATCGAAATACGGACACACGCCTGGAATACCCTTGAGTGCGCATTCCATCACACCCTGGAAAAGCCCTAGGGTGACACTGACCCCGAATTGTAGGTGCTTTACCCTGAACGCTCCCCTGTGGATAACTATAGTTTGAGCTTCTGCTGTGGCATCGTTCATGGGCAGTTGCTGGTAGGCTTGAGCCAAATCCAATTTGGTGAATATGCGACCTCCCTGTAGTGACGCCAAAATGTGGCTGACTACAGGCACCGGATATGAATGTTGAAGCGCTCTATTAATAGTGCACTTATAATCCGCGCATATGCGCACCTCACCGTTGGCCTTAAGTGGCGTAACTATGGGGGTTTCCCACCGACTGCTGTCTACTGGCTGCAACACACCTTGCACCAGCTTGTCCAGCTCTGCATCGATTTTGAGCCTGACGGCAAAAGGCAATCTACGAGGCTTGATCCTTATTGGAGTTATGGTAGGATCAAGGTGGAGGGTAATGGGAGGTCCCTTGTACTTTCCTAAGTTAGGGCTGAAAACATCAGCAAACTCTTGGCAAACTACCGACAGGTCCGCTGCTTGCATTCTGTGTATGCCAGTCACATGGATGCCCAAGGCATCAAACCAGTCTAACCTGATGAGGCTTGTGCGGTGCCCCTCAACTACTACGATGTCCAGGGGACCCTCAAACTCTTTGAACTGTACTTTGAGTGTAGCTTCTCCTTTAACCGCTACGCGGGAGTTTTGGAAATCTGTTAACAGGAGATTCGACGGCTTGAGTTTAACTCGTTTGCCGCTGCAACTGCAAATGTGTTTAAAAGTTCCTTGGGAAATTATAGATAGGGCTGACCCCATGTCTAATTCCATGTAGCATGGAACTCCTTGAAGCTTGACTTTGAGTCTCAGCTTTTCCTTAATGGGGCGATGGGCACCTGTTCTAAGCATGCTCCTTCTGCTGGCACAAAAGCCAACTCTGTGTTGCCCCGGGATCCCGGTACCTTTCCTGGGAAATTCTTCTTGTGGAATGTCCCTCTGGCGACCTTTACAGACGGCGGCGATGTGGCCTTGTTTGCCGCACACCCGGCACGTTGCTGTGCGGAACCTGCACTCCGAGCATCTATGTCGGCCTCCGCAGCCCATACATCGAGTGAAGGGAACTTCCTTGTCAAGTGGCTGCTGAACTCTTGCTGGTGGCTTCTGCAGCAGATCGATTTCATGGTCCATGTCGGGGACCTTCCCTCTTTCTGCGTCCTCGTGGTGGACTGTTTCTGGGCTGGGAGTGTTCTTGGAGGGCCGTAAGGCTTTTACGGCTCCCCCGGTGGCTTCTTCGGCCATAATTTCCTTTAGGGCATCTTGGAACGACAAGGTCTCCTTCACGAACAACTTCTGCTGGAGATCCCTGTTCCTCAACCTGCAAACTAGATGGTCTCTCAGTCTCTCTTCAAGGTCTGTGAAATTGCAGAGCCAGGACACCTGTCGTAGGGCAGCTATGAACTCGGCGGCAGACTCGCCTGGTTGTTGCTCCCTTTGTTCGAAGGCGTGTCTCCAGGCTATGACAGAGAGCTTCGGCTCGAAATGTTCCTTGAGCATTTTCTTGAGCTCGGAGTAGGCAAATGACTCAAGCGTAGGTGGAGCAACTATGTTTTTGGCTATATCAAACGTTGCCTGGCTGCACATGCACAGCAGCATTGCGGCCTTTAAGCCACCTTCGCTAACTTGGTTAGCTCTCAGGTAGTTCTCAACTCGCGAAATGTATGAGCTCCACCTCTCAGGATGCAACACGTTGAACTCCGTCAGTTTTCCGGGCTTGGCCATGGTGAGTTGTCTCCGACCTCTCAATGCCTTGTGCTGCTAAGGCTTCTGTGTTGGTCCTAGGGACAGGTCCCTCAGGGCGTGGGCCTCCAGAGTTGCTTGCTGGCAGGCAGAGGGGGGGGGGAACATGGTTCCTACCAGGGCGCTGAGGCCTGGTCTCACCCCCTAGTGACTTCTGGCTCTTTCTTGTTTAGCAGCACATCCCACCTTCATCGCCACTGTTATGTTTCGGGTTCGGTGAGGCATTGACAAGGCAATTGGTGCAACAAGAACTCATTTATTAAGTTAACAACAGAAGCAGCAGCAACTGCCGGTAAACCTCTATTTATATGGATCACCGCTAGACAGCGGCCAATAGAATTAAAGCAGTCTTTCCCACTCAAACACAAGCTAACAAGTATGTAGACAGTCAGTCTGGAGTTTAAATGGTCGCAGCCATTTAAGCATTTTCAACAGTTTCTAAGCAATTTACATCAATACATAACACATAGCATAAAGGTAAAAAAGGATATATGTAGTGTTATCTTCATTTTAGATGTCAAAAGGGTTTTGTGGCTCCCAATGTTTTTTTTTTCTGTGAGAAACGGGTCGAAGTGGCTCTTTGAATGTTTAAGGTTGCCGACCCCTGACCTAGCCGATCGAAAAGTGTAAGACCGCATAAAAGCAGTCAGGCAAGGATGCTGCCCCATAGCCGAATACACGGAGGAGTTCCGGGACCTGGCGTGCTGCCTCAACTGGCCCAATGACATCCTGGTAAACTGTTTCCAGGATGGGCTCAACGATGACCTGTACAATGCCTGCATCGCCCGTGGAGCCCTGGTCCGCCTACACAACTGGTGCATCCTGGCTGAAGAAGCAGAGATCGACCAGAACCACAACCCATACCAGTCAGGGAAAACTTGGAAGAGGTCTCCCCCGGGAAAGGAGAGGCAACCAAACCCATGGCAGCTCAACCACACTCAACAGCCTGCTTCAAATGTGTCAAATAGGGCCATCGTGCTCTGGAGTGCTGCACAAAAACCCCAGCCAAGAAGGGAGACCAACTGTCCAGAGGGAAGCCAATGAGACCTACTCAAAGCCCAAAGGACTCAGCCCTGAAAAGCATGGAGGTTGTGGAGTTCCACCCAACCCTGAAACCAGGAGGGAGAAATCCAACTCCACAGGAGGACGAGACGGGGATGCCTGAAAGCAACTATGACAATGACCCCTTGGTAAGTGGGCCGATTGCGCCAATCACATTGCCCATAAGACTGTTCATTTTGGGTAAGGAAGAAAGGGTGGCCCTAAATGCCCTAATAGACTCAGGCTGCACCAGGTGCCTGATCAGCCCAACCTTGGTAGGGAGACTGGGATTCCAATTAAGGAGGTTAAAAAAACCCATCGCATTTTGTCAACTCAATGGGTCCATCACAGGGGGCATCCTGGCCAGCTTCACCACTGAACCCCTGGGCTTAACCTTCGGGAGCCACTCCAAACCTCTAACATTCAAAGTGGCACCTGGAATGGAATGGCCCCTTGTCTTAGGATTGACGTGGTTGAAAAAATGGAACCCAAGGACAGAGTGGTGGGAAGGGAACTTGAAGTTCCCAAAGGAACTGAAAAAAACCCTTAAGAAGCTTCAGGGAGAAAGGGAAAGCCTGGATAGAGAAGCAGCAGCAGTGGCAAGAAGCAAGGGGTTGAAAGGCACACCCAGGGAGTACCACGATCTGGCTGAAGTCTTCAGCAAAAGGGGCTCAGACGAACTTCCCCCTCACCGGGCCACAGACTGCACTATTGAAATTGTCCCCAGAGCCAAGCTCCCAAAACCCAAAATATATTCCATGAACTAGAGAAACTGCAGCAGTTTATAGATAAAAATCTGGCTCGAGGTTTCATCCAGCCGGCAAGACCCTGAGTGGCAGCCCCGGTACTATTCCGGGAGACAAAAGATGAGTCTCTTTATCTCTGCATGGACTATAGAGGCCTTAATGCAGTATGCATGGAAAATGTGTACCCCTTGCCCCTCATGAAGGACATGCTGGCCCACTTGTCCAAGGGAAATGTGTTTTCTAAGCTGGACTTACAGGAGGCTTATTGCCAAGTCAGAATTAACGAAGGAGACGAGTGGAAAACCGTGTTTAACTGCCCCCTTGGCTGTTTCCAATTTAAGGTGCTCCCCTTTGGATTACAAGGAGCCCATGCAGTGTTCATGCAGTTGATAAATGAGGTGCTGCATGAGCACCTATATAAGGGAGTTTTGGTGTACCTGGACAATATATTAATTTACACCGAAACCAAGGCTGAACACGTGAAATTGGTCAGAGTGGTCTTAGCTCCATGCAGCTAAGTTATATGCTAAGCTTTCGAAATGTGAATTCCACAAAGAGAAGATTGATTACTTGGGCTACTGAATCTCACTTGAGGGGGTGGAAATGGACCCAGAAAAGGTGCACACTGTTTTGAAATGGGAGGCCCCTCACACCAGGAAACAATTGCAGAGTTTCCTGGGCTTTGCTAATTTATATAGGCAATTCATCCCCTTCTTCACACAAATCGCCCTTCCCATCATGAACTTGCTGAGCATGAAGGGGTGGGGGGATAAGCCAAGATCCAGTCAGCCATTAAAGTGGACTATGGAATGCCAAGCCACATTTGAAAACTTAAAAAGACTTTTTTCCGCGGAACCAGTTCTGAGGAACCCAAACCCAGAGAGACCATTTGTCGTTCAGGCTGACGCTAGTGATGTAGCAGTGGGTGTAGTATTGCTCCAAGAAAACGACACAGGGCAATTATAGCCCTGTGCCTACACCTCGAAAAAATTAACTGAGATAGAGCAACGCTGGGCCGTGTGGGACAAAGAGGTGTACGTGGTGAGGTAGGCCCTTCTTATGTGGAGACATTTTCTAGAAGGAAGTGAAATCCCTTTCCAGGTTTGGACTGACCACAAAAACCTGGAAGCACTGAAAACCCCAAGGAAGTTATCCCCCAAATAGGCGCGGTGGGCTCAACACTTCCAGCACCTTAACTTTACTCTGCGCTATCTGCTGGGGGGAAAGAACTTTCTAGCAGACTCTTTATTGAGGCTGCCACAATATAATAGTGTAAAAACAGAAATAGTTAAACTGATGCTCCCAGCGCAACAGCTAGCAGCACCAGTGACCACAAGAGCGCAGTCAAAAGGCAGCCCACTGCTAAACACCACTATCACTTCGAAATTTAAACAAGCCTTAGAGAAAGGCTACTGGTTCCTCAACCACAAAAACCTCTGCTCTATGCGAGAGGGGCTCGCATGGGTAGGAGGGAAATTATATGTCCAGCTAGCCAGAGACTAAAGACTATGCAAACATGCCATGATTCCAAGGCAGCTGGGCACTTTGGATTTGTAAAGACCCTACACCTTCTAAAAAGACAGTTTTGGTGGTCCTCTATCAAGAAGGACGTGGAGAGTTATGTGGCCAGCTGCCCCACCTGCGCAGCAGTGAAACGGAGGCAAGGAAATACGCCCGGCCTCCTGCAGCCAGTCGCAAACCCTTCAGCACCCTGGAGAGAGATCTCTATGGACTTTATCATAGAACTGCTGAAGTAGCATACAATAATGCTGTCCACTATAGCAGGGCTTTTCAACCAGTGGTACGGGTACCACCTGTGGTACATTGGCACCTGGCAGGTGGTACGCGACCATCCTAGAAAAGTGGTAGCGGGGGAGGGGAATGAGCTGAACCGGTAGCAGCACCACACAAGCCTGAGCGAGAGATGGCTGGAGCTGCAGGGCTGTCAGGGCTCAGTGGAAGCTCCAGGATCAGCGCCAGGCTCCAGCTGGAGCTCGGTGCTGATCCTGGCGCTTCTGCTGAGCCCTGAAGAAGCACCAATCAGTTAGAAAGCAGCACTGATCCTGGCGCAGAAGATCGGCTGGAATGTTGCAGCATCTCCAGGGTCTTGTGATTTACATTCAGATGCTTGGCAACTGATTCATATTTATGACGGTCCCAGTGTCCCAGGGTCATGTGAAGTGACCAAAACCTGCTGCAACCACCCAGCAGATGGGGGGGAATAAAAACCAAACACCCCAAAAAGGAACTAGACAAGGATGTCCATTATCTCCATTGTTATTTGTGTTAACAATGGAGATTCTGTTAATAAAAGGAGTTAAGGTTAATAAGATTGAGTATAGATTAAGAGCTTTTGCAGATGACCTAGTGTTAACATTAACTCAGCCAACAGACTCGGTAATTGATTTGGTTGAAATTATTGCACAATATGGAAAAGTTTCTGGTTTCAAGATTAATTGTAATAAGACTAAAATACTACCGAAAAATATGTCTATCAATGATAAAGATAAGTTAGTTATGCTTACAGGTTTTGAAATGGTTAAAAAGGTAAAATATTTGGGAGTTTACATTACAGCTACTAATGCTAAATTGTATAAGAATAATTATGAATCTTTATGGCTTAAGGTGCAAAAGGATTTAAATGATTGGAAAAAATTGCAATTATCTTTATTGGGGAGAATCTCAGCAGTAAAAATGAATATTCTCCCAAAGTTTCTTTTCTTGTTTCAAATGATCCCTATTTTAAAAAAAGATGCTAATTTGGAGGATTGGCAGA